CAGACGGGTAGCATTTGTAATCACAGACGGGTAGCATTTGTAATCACAGACGGGAAGCATTTGTAATCACAGACAGGTAGGATTTGTAATCACAGACGGGTAGCATGTGTAATCACAGACGGGTAGCATGTGTAATCACAGACGGGAAGGATTTGTAATCAGACGGGTAGCATTTGTAATCACAGACGAATAGCATTTGTAATCACAGACTGGTAGCATTTGTTATCGCAGACGGGTAGCATTTGTAATCACAGACGGGAATCATTTGTAATCACAGACGGGTCGCATTTGTAATCACAGACGGGAAGCATTTGTAATCAGACAGGTAGCATTTGTAATCACAGACGGGTAGCATTTGTAATCACAGACGGGAAGCATTTGTAATCACAGACGGGTAGCATTTGTAATCACAGACGGGTGAAGCATTTGTAATCACAGACAGGCAGCATTTGTAATCACAGACGGGTAGCATTTGTAATCACAGACGGGTAGCATTTGTAATCACAGACGGGTAGCATTTGTAATCACAGACGGATAGCATTTGTAATCACAGACAGGTAGCGTTTGTAATCACAGACGGGTGAAGCATTTGTAATCGCAGACGGGAAGCATTTGTAATCACAGACGGGTAGCATTTGTAATCAGACGGGTAGCATTTGTAATCACAGACGGGTGAAAAATTTGTAATCACAGACTGGTAGCATTTGTAATCACAGACGGGTAGCATTTGATGTTAAATTTATAAACTGGAGGTAAACAATGAATACTAGTATGTTACACAAGTATTACTACCCGAGGTTTAAAACACTGACATTATAATATACATACATACATGCTAATGTAGCAAAGTGTGAAATTTGACGGATAAACACTCATGTAGTGTGATTTAAAATAAGGACAACGATGACAATTTTTTTTATTTTTTTTATTGGGAGCTAAAAGCATTCAATTTAAAATATGCTGCGTGAGATAACATACACGTCATCATACACGATAGTAAAATGGATACAGCAAGTTACGGTCCAAGGGAGGAAACTCCATCATATGTGTTAACATTACCTCCCCTTATAGTTCTAGGTGAAAGGTAGGGAGTAAGAAGGGTTTGGCTATGTATTGGCAAACTAACACGAAAAGCGAGAGGGCGGAGTTTGCAGTAGAGAGAAGACAGAAGTGTGTACTGGCAGAAAGAGGCCCGAACAAGCAAGTGATTGGTCTACCCCGGCCGGCTAAACTTGTCCTGACCTCCAATCTCTCAGGATTAAGATTACGAATTTTAATGTCCATCTCGTAACTATGGCGGACGGATATTACAATTAAATGCGCCGATTTGATACATACGAGTAAACCTTCATATGAAAAGATTGATAATTGTCTGCGACATTGATGAGATAAACTTTCAATTTACCTGTACGGCGATATAGATATATACCTTACAGGCCGTTCGTTTGCAGGTGAAGTTTTTTGGTATCTGAGACTGTAATTTTGGATGCTTGTGTACAGCATTCATAGCGGTCCTCGCCAAGCCTGGGCAAATCAAAACCAAACAACAGACTTTCTTCTTCCGCGGAAGATCTTTAAATGCTGTGTTGATTATTTCATGGTATGCATATGAAAACGATCAATCAAATCAAAGAAAAATGTTAAAATTTTACGAAAAGGCGAGGTTTTTCAGTGAGCATCGCGAACTATATCAATCTCAGATTATTACGGTTTTTGGACCGAATACTTTCTTCACGAAAAAACCAAACAACACATCTCCTTCCACGAAAGATGTTTAGATAATGTGTTCAATATTTCATGATATGATAGATGCTATAATATGGTTAAAAATATCTGTATAAGACAGAAAAATCAAAGAAAATATGTAAAACAGTGGCGTTTTTAATCGGTGAAAGTTCCGAACTATTTGGTTCAAATTACTACGCCTCGTATAAGAGGTTTCTCCCCTTGTCAATTATTGCGTCGTTTCATGCTCGCGACTTGTTGAACGACTGTTTGATGACGTAGGCTTCGTGTTTTCTTCGTCTCAATGGAAAGTCTCCAAGTGAAAGAGGATGTTGAATTACACTAAAGTAGCCGTCAGCAGCTGTGCCTAACGAGCTTATAGATAGCTTCCCAATGCGACGGCAGCTGTGCCTAACGAGTTTGTAGATAGCTTCCACATACAGTCTCTAGATAATGGCCTGATTAGTATAATACAAGTGCTTCGTGAATATAGCATATTGAACATCAAAAGTTAAAACCGTATATACATATTATTCACATTAACCAGAAACTGAATAATTATATAGGTCTTTATAACCTTCGTTACAATACCGAGAGAAGGAGAGATACACAAGGGACTTGCATAAGTCCGTGATAACACGCACTGGAAATAAGTCTCGTTTTAATTTTTTGTGTATATTTAATCATAATAATATCATACAGTAATTGTAATAATATAATAATTATTTATTCATAGTATCTATATAACATTTATTTATGTATCTTGTAATTTGCTCGTAAACTTAATAATCTTACGGGACACTTTTGGTTTGCAGGGTTGTCTGGTCAAGATCACTGTTACTGTTTTTATCTGTAGCAGCTTCATTCCTTGAAGGATTTCCATCGATTTGAAAAACTAAATAAGGACCATAATATCAGACAAGTTTCAATTTCAGGGCTGTTGGGTCAAGGTCATCGTTACTTATTTTTATACTGCTAATGGTAGCCAGTAAGGGTCCTATATTGTTTTAGCAATACTCTGCTTGTTATATATATCTTTATTGGAAGTTATGATTAAGGGATGGGCTATTATGACCCTTACTCTACAACATGTTCTTTATTATTTACTGCCATTCTGTACTGATATACCACCTCCTTTATTCCATTATTTGAATCCTTAATACACAGCATCCCCGAGTGCCCTCGGCACTTTGATTATATTGTAATTTGGCCCCTGGTGACCCGAATTGTTGATGGACCGCGGGACAATACAAAAATAAAAAATGCTCGTTTTCTCTGCTCAAGATTTCAATATATAGCCATGTGGTGCACACCGTAATATATTGTAGGGGAGACAACTCTTGCATCAAACGCAAGCTTTAATATTTGAAATAACTTTTTGTACTGTCCGTTCATTATTACAGAAAGTTTTGGATCGGTTCAGGAACGTCGCAAGTCCCTGACGATTGTCAAGATGTTGCGAAGACTGGCGAAGAAACGGGATCTTGTGGTCGGGCCCATGCCATCGCCCAACCCGATCGACTTCTACCAGCACTGGGTCGAATGTCCCGTCCTGGAAAGCATACTCGAACAGTATTTCCGGGATTTCCCCAATGCGACGTTTCCAAAAGGTATTTACGTGTATAATTATGAACTTGATGCTGTGTGTTTAGCCTATATTTACAGTTATAAGCATAGAACTTTGGACAATTAACATGGCTTATCTCCCTTGTAGACCAGTCCAGTAGTCGAAGCACCCATTGGCAATCCAAAAAGTAGGCTCTTTGCAAAGATAGTCTCTGTATAGTTGGGAAAGTAGTGCCACAGGGAATCTCGTTTTACATGTGAATCTCGCGGTAACCATTGTGAAAAAGAATATTTTCGGTAAAAACTTGAAAAGAGGACCCTGGCTGTGCCCTGAATGTTTAGGTATTATTTTTAACATATCTGAACACGAGTGTCAAGGGGGCGTGCGATTCATTTTGATATTTTATTTCTACAGATTCCATGAACATTTCCCCCGATGAGATGCGACCAGTGATGACCAGGGTTGTGACTACGTTCGACTATCTGAAGAACGTGCGCGTGGCTATGGACCTGTTGATTGAGGACACGGCCAGACTGGTCCTGGACAAGCGTGTAAACTGTACCACCACTATGTACCAGAGAGTATTCGTCTGTATGTAGCGTTACTACACAATACTATATTGTATCATTTAATGTAAAGTAAAATTAAACTAGGGCTAACTTTACTGTAACTTCGACTCCGTGTTAACAGTGACAAATTAATAAAAATAAAATAAACAGTTGGTGTTATCAAAAAGCAAGAGATTTACATTGAAGTTTGTCAAATTTCTAAACATTGAATCACCTTATTTAAGAACAAAATAATTATGGTAAAAGCTGTCGTGTTTAAAAGTTTATATTTCTGCAACACGAGGCACGCGCACTTGAGAAACAACGTCATTATTAAAATGACCTTAGCTGTTAATACGACGTTAATCCATCCTCGCAACTCCAGGGATTGCACTCACTTCCACTCTCTGCAGAGAGCCAAAGTGAGCGTGACCCATGGAGTATCGAGAATGACGTTTACCCTATCAATCAAAACCAAATTCAAACATCTTGAAAATCCGCATGCTCCTTAAATCCCCTCCCTGTCCTGTTGTATGGAGAGGTCACGAGTTCCTGTTACGGAAGTTATTACAATATGCTTGAATTTTCAGACTACATGAGGCGACGACTTGACCAGATGATGTCGCCACGTGACACCTCCCTTAAAAGTCGTATCGAAGTCATACTGAGCCAATACTTCTCTAACAACTCCACCATCCTCGGCTACGCCGGCCAACTACTTGGGGAAATCCACTACGTCGTGCACGAGTCCTTTATTCATGACTTACAGGAAGAAGAGTTCAAAAGTAAATGCGTTATTATTCTTAAAATTCTTTTTGATGGGGGGCATACAGATGTACCACTGATTTTACCACCCATCAGAGATGTAGAGGTTGTCTGTAGTCGTAGATATTTGACCTCAGAAAATGACATCAATTACCCAACCGGTAAAATAAATTGAAGCGCCGATACACCCATCAAATTTTTGGTTTTGCAGGTGTTGATACGTGTCGTTACATAAATCTAAAACATAAAATATGAACTTTATTTGTTTTACAACAATTATGAAATAAGTTATTTCAACTTATATTAATCACTCGTGTTGGCCTGGATGTTAGCGCGCGAGGGGTCTTAGTGTGGGAGGAAACCGGAGTACCCGGTGAAAACCCATGGGATCGGGCAGGTGACCCTAAACCTTTTCACGTCCGATCGGTGAATCGAACCCCGGCCGCCTTGGTGAAAGGCTAGTGCATCACCCGTCAACCCATCTAAAACTTGCAATGCTGCAATGTAAAACAATGGCTAATTAAACATTGACAGCATCTAGTTGATCTAATCAACTAAGCCTATTAACTAATTTCTCATGTCGGCTTCATATTTAGTAAATTGATTGAAGAACACTAGATCAATATCCGTAGTTATCGTCCTTTAAGTATTCGGTCGTCGCTTGTCTAGACAAGTCGAAATTTTCTGAGGGTCATCACCGTCTGCGGTCACTTGTGGAAAGGTGTTTCCGGTTGCAGTGACGCAGGATACAACCTCGAGTCACGACTAGATGTCATTCACCCTTAAACCTTCATGTCGCTGCGAAATGACGTGTTTGTGTTGGGGGCAAAATGAGACCTATTTTTTGAACAATCGAATGTCATTGTCACATTTTCGCGACAGGGTATCGCTTTTGTAAACCAGTAATTGACAATTTGCCGTTTTAAACGCTTCTTTCAGGTCTTGGTCGGTTTTTACGGGATTACAAATGGAGTATTCCATCTTTCCTGGAGAGATACCACCAAGACAATTTCGCCTTCTTAAATGACTGGGCGTCACAGATGGTGAATGATTTCTTCAGCTTTGGTGCAAACTACACAGACGCATTCCGTTGTACAACGCCGCAAGAATTCATTAATATGCACACGAGGGTTGCGAACAGGACGGTAAACAAGTATGTGCTTTAAAACTAAAACCTTAAATTAATGATCTGCTTGACATCACTTGATGACTCCCAATTCTGTTTTGTGTATATATGAAGACGTAGATGTAGATCAGATTCCTTAGTTGATAACGTTACGTCTTTGTTTTATTCTGCAGTTACTGGCAGGCTCACAAATCTGGACAAGCCGTTTCTTTCCTCACCCGTCGATTCCAGGAGCTTTTTAACATGCCTCACGCTCCATCTCATGTGAAGCTTGACCCCGTGTTGGTGGACGAGGTCGTTCAGAAGTTGGTGAATGTCATTCTTGGATACGTTAACGACACGGTGGTGGAGCTAGCTACGTATGAAGGATATTTAGCATCAGCAACTCTGTCCCCGCCCACCTTCATGGCCAGCAGTCTCAGTAAGTAGCTTGATTGAAAGGCCTGGTATAATTAAACAGATATCGCCAGCCATAGCCACTTTAACTTTCAAATTGACCTTAGTCATTGACCTTTTCGTTCGTTTGATGCCGTTTCCTTGGTTACCTGTTATCTACTTTTTATCGGCCCTAATGACCGGTGTTGATGGTCCGTTAAGAATCCACAGTAGACATACTATTGTCAAAAAACTGTCTGGGTATTGTAATAATTTTATAAAACGATATTTTTTACAAATAGTAGTTATTTTCATGAACATCCAGTCAAATTGATTATGTGAAATCTGAAATGATTAAAACATGTTTTGATTTTCCTATGTAACATTTCCGTATCTATTGCCCAGGTGACGTACAATGGAACACGACAATGATGCTGTTTAACCGGATGTTCCCTAACAGTCCGCTCCCTCCCACGCAGAACCCCATTGGAACGGTATCTCCAGGTACGCCTCTACTGAGTGCTGCTGAGTGTGTCTTGTAATCCCGGTATTCGAATATGCCGTGTATATGTTCCGTTTTGATTTCCCGTGAAACCCGTACTATTGTAGCGAGTCGCACCTATTTTCTATATAATATAACGAAAATAAGAACATTATGAAGTTGATTACAGATTTCCAGCTTGACGAAAGGTTAGAGGTCGAATCCCCGTGCCGACATGTGTTTTCATTCGTTCTTTATCTTTCACTAAATATAGGATTTCTTTCGTATATAACTTTTGCCTTGGTATATTGGCATTCAACTCGATGTCAGAAAAATGGAATTTATTTTCTACCGTCATGAAACTTTAATCTAAATACATGTGATTAACATTTGATCTGAAATTAACTTAAATTACATGTACATGTTTTCTGTGTAGGTCCCGGAATGAGCTTTGAAGAAATTGCGGTGTACATTTCGAAAGACGTCGAAAACCTACACAGGTATGTACACAAGATTATTTTTTTTCTAAAATTTCGGAATGTGAAATCTGCGTAAGACAAGGGAACGACCATTTGATTTTTTATCGGGATTGGGGCTGGCCATCCTCGATACAGGGGTTACGCTTCCTCGATATCCAGGTAACGCTCACTTTCGCTCTCTACGTCATAGCAAAATTGAAGGCTCATTGTGCAGCAACTTGTTGATGAGACGAGGAGACTAGTTCGATCCTTTGAACATCAAAATAATCTCGCGGTCACGTAACGGTATAAATTGACAGGCTTTGAAGTCGGGCCTCTTTCTTTTGTAATCTTCAAAGGACCGGTATCAGCCTAGCGGTTGGTCAGGTTTTTTTACCCGAGACCATTCAAACGTCGGTCTTTGTGCCTTCAATTTTGCTATTACATATTCCAGGGGTGAAGAGAGCGAAAGTGAGCGTAATCCCTGGATATCGAGGATGGGGGCTGGCAAGCTCGGGCACACATTATGCTGAACGACTAAGCTTGCCAGGTTTACCAATATGTCTTGAATACAAAGACTTTGGTATTTTAAAGTCTTAGGCGAAATGTGTGTTATAATTTATTTTGTAAAATAAATTATCAAGTCAATAATTTCCGCATAAATATTCTCAATTTTCACGCCATAAGTTCTGATTCAGTTTTAATATCTCGGAACGGTTTCTCTTTGTATAAAAGTCATATTTAATTAACGAGAGAAACATCCCAACATTAATTTCCAAATTCGGTCTGGGCTCCGCCCCTCGGAATCCAATTCTCATAAGTGCAAGATAAGTAAAACGATTATCTAAATTCCAACAAGTATCTCGGGTAAACAGAATAGCAACTCGCATAAGGAGTACATGGCTATGGCGGTCATCTTCAAGTTTGATTAACCGGCTGCCATGAGCTAAATAAAACAGAACTCTTCAAAAACTGTTATTGTTTATTTCAGGATCACGGTCCTGATGCCAACTACCTGGGCCTCGGATCAAGAATACACCACGATTCAGAATGAACTGTATATAATGATAACCGAAAAGAAGAAGTTCCTTGATAGCTTACCGATAGATAAAGATAATGGTTTTGTAGTCGGGAATTAGGGGGCGCTGTCCAGTACCAATTATGAAGGGTGCTGTCTGGATTTGTAAATTGGTGTTGGAAAACGTCGTTGAATTTCGTTGAAATGACATCGATTCGTTTTTTCTAGTTACATTTATGCATGATAAATGTTTAGTAATTGTGACCAGAGTCGTTTTTGTTTTCGCCATTTACAGAGTACGGGGTAACGCTTACAGCAGTGCAACGTCACCTTTTGAACATGCCACCTTTTATAAAAGATGTCTGCCTGTATAGTGTAGAGGTTTAGTCACTAACAAGTAGCTAACTGGAAATCTGTATTTCACACCTTTGATACTGAATTGTGAAGGTAATTAAGAATTGGTGATGCCAAGTTATAGTTTGTTACAAATTTGTGCAACTTATAGGATACAAGTCCTATACATCACATCAACTGGACTCGCGCAAGTATTTTGTACCATAATGCTGATATTTGGCATAAGGGTTCCCGAGGGCTTGAACCCGAGTTGATGCAGGATGTCGAGGAGATGCTATTGAAGTTCGATTCTTCTCCTCTATTGACTTAAACCTTGAGATTTGGAATAAAAACAATTGCGCACAAGTACAAGTTTTAATTAGTTTTTTTAATGTCTCTATTTGGTGTTCAATTTTTAATTTGTATGTACACCAAAGTCGAAATTTCTTTTAAACTTTCATTTATCCAATTAAATATATTAAAACCCGACACTTAACAGTTAAATCGCAAGTAGAACGCAATTCTAAATCGAAACAAAAATGATCAAAATATTTTAATTAGATTATTCAAAACGCTTTCAAAACGCCTTGGGAGGTTGAAACAGTTTTACATCGACCGGCCAGCGAATGTCGAAAACATTCTCCAGTAATGGTGACTTCAGACTAAACTTTATGCTTGCATAACGGAAATGCTTATCAAGCTCAGTATACCAAATTGAGCAGAAAACCTGCATGCCTTATGACGCTAAATGTTATTCTTCTATTCTGATTGGCCAACGCGGAAAATAAATACTTATATTTACATTTGCATGGCATTGTCACTATATATCCTCTTTGAAAGCTGTGTCGTTGATGGGACTTTAATTACCATGCAGCACGAGACATAATTCTTAGCGTATTAATACAACACTGACAGGAACTACAATATTATCCAATGTTAATAAACATGACGGCTGCTAAAATATCGCTAGACATTGTGAGATTTGACAATGTCATTGTAAATTTATGAACAAAATAAAAAATAAAATAAAAAATACTTTTATTACAACAAAAACAAGACCAAGGTCTGCAATATCGTACAAAATGCACATCGGTTGAAATCACCAATGCCGGCAATGGAAACAATTTTAACGCTCATGCAATTTATCAAAAATATCATCTGTTACACTGCACTGATCAACAGGTGTTCGTTACAAAGGTCTGATATACACATATTCTATAGACCTACTGACACAAATGTTACAGACCTACTGATATGAGTCGCAGCACACATAAACATTTCAGACATTTGTAAAGAACCCCTGTGCTCCGTCGCAAGATCACTCGCTTCAAACGCTACTGTATCGGTTTCACGCGTCTCGCAGCCACTGTTTCCTCAGTTTCTGATGACATGTCAAATAACGAGACTGTTAAAGAATCTACAAACTGTAGTCAGATTACCATACAATCAACAAAAAAAATCACGTCTGGATTCTTCTCAAAATGAGCACAGATAAAAGTTCGAATTAACTTCCAAAAATAACTCCCTCGTGGAGGGCAAGGTCGGATTTACGGTGTTCATTGTATTTATCCATCGAAACAATTTCAAATCTAACTTTCAGCTCAGAGTTCTATTGATAAACTTAAATCACCCTATAGACATCATACGCAATTGTATCGATACTGAACTGTGGAATGACATTGAAGTGTTTGTTAAAATTTCAAAGTACTACTTTGTTTGCCAATCAAAACACGGTGTTCAAACTATTGAACGAAATTGTGTGGACTGTCGATAAGGCGGGCATTTTAAATTTAAAATAAAGATTATAAGTTAAAAGAACAAGAGGCAGAGAAAACGTGAATATAAGTATTGAACTGTTTTTGTATGGTATTTATGATCTATTTTAATGACGCAGCTTTGCAAGCAAACAAATCATAATGCGCTAGCTCGCATTATGTTGTTTGCTTGCAAATTGTCATTCAAATAGATCATAAATACCATACAAAAACAGTTCATTGCTTAAATTTTTACATTTGCATGGCATTGTCACTATATACCATGAAGCACGAGACAATTCTTAGCGTATTAATACAACACTGACCGGAACTACAATATCCATTGTAAATAAACATGACGGCTGCTGAAATATCGCTGGGCATTGGGAGACTTGACATGTAAAATATACAATAAAAGATACATCTCTTTCGGAACAGGAAAACATAACGAAAGTCATGCATACTCAACAATACATTCGTGACTAACAGATTCTAGTACACCACCCCCCCCCCCCCCCCCCCCCNTAATATAGTATCCACTCTCTCTAAGAGGCAGATACTATATGTCATACATTAATAATGATGAGGATGTATGTATTATAATTACAGACTATTATCCCCCCTCTTCCCCTTCTCCCTCCCCCCTTTTCTCTCTGTCTCTGTCTTATAATTTCAATTTATAAATTAAAGCATTTAAAAATGAAATAGTGTATATATGTATATTAATTCTGCCATCTTGTTGTACTATTGTAAATATATGCTTGTAATTTGCTAGGAAAGGGCTTAATATAAGTTTGATAACTTGTGCTCAATCCATTTGCTTGGCAATAAAATATGTTCAAACTAAAAATATACAAAAGAAAATATACAAAAAAATACTTTTATTACAACAAAAACAAGATCAAGGTCTGCAATATCGTACAAATGCACATCGGCTGAAATCACCAATGCCGGCAATGGAAACAATTTTAACACTCATGTAATTTATCTTCTGTTACACTGCACTGATCAACAAGGGTTCGTTACAACTATCTGAAATACACATATGCTATAGACCTGACACATATGCTATACACATACTGATATGAGTCGCAGCACACATAAACATACACGAGGCATATGTGTATTTCAGACATTTGTAACGAACCCTGTGCTCCGTCGCAAGATCACTCACTTCAAACGCTATCAGTATCACGCGTCTTGCAGCCACGGTTTCCTCAGTTTCGGAGGACTTGTCAAATAACGAGGTCGTTGTAATATCTGACTGTAGTCAGATTCCCATACAATCAACAAATACGTTCACGTCTGGATTCTTCACAAGTTCGAACTTCTCTCTCTGCTCATTTAACTTCCAAAAATAACTCCCTCGTGGAGGGCAAGGTCGGATTCACGGTGTTCACTGTATCCATACGCGAAATTTGTTCCGGGGAAATCTAACATTCAGCTCGGATTTCTATTGATAAACTTAAATCACCCTACAGACATATCATACGCAATTGTATTGATACTGAAATGTGGAATAAAATGTAAATGTTTGTTAAAATTTCAAAGTACTGCTTTGTTTGCCAATCAGCGGGCGTCAATAAAAATTGTAAGTTAAAAAAGAACATAAGAGGCAGAAAACGTAAATATAAGTATTGAACTGTTTTTGTATGGTATTTATGATCTATTTAATGACACACCTTTGCAAGCAAAGCTGTGTCATTTAAATAGATTATAAATACCATACAAAAACAGTTCAATGCTTAAACAGTAACAGTATCTACTTATATCGCATTACACATTTCGATCATTTCTACTTTATACTTTATGTGGAATAAAATGTAAATGTTTGTTAAAATTTCAAAGTACTGCGTTGTTTGCCAATCAGCGGGCGTCAATAAATGTGGAATAAAATGTAAATGTTTGTTAAAATTTCAAAGTACTGCTTTGTTTGCCAATCAGCGGGCGTCAATAAAAATTGTAAGTTAAAAAAAAACATAAGAGGCAGAAAACGTAAATATAAGTATTGAACTGTTTTTGTATGGTATTTATGATCTATTTAATGACACACCTTTGCAAGCAAAGCTGTGTCATTTAAATAGATTATAAATACCATACAAAAACAGTTCAATGCTTAAACAGTAACAGTATCTACTTATATCGCATTACACATTCCGATAATTTCTACTTTATAACCACTTTTTTCTCCTTAAGGAGATATGCTTAAGAATTCCACATTAATATAAGCTTTAAAATATCTTTGTAAGGTTATTTGGATTCTGTTAAATGACACATCTGACATGGTTCTTACGCTGGTAACTTCGGACTTAATTCTTAATTGGGAAATAAAGCTGATTAGATAATTAAGGAAGGACAACCTTATGACACAACGTTTTAGTTTGGGATCCCTTTCCCACTCCAGGAAAAAATATCTGTATTTAATATGATTTTTAACCGTTATCAGCTGGAAATAATGGAACACTTTTAACATTAAAACAGACATTTATGTTGAGACAATTAACAACAAAAATAAGACATTATTAACAATCGATTTCAATAAAAAAAAGTCTGTATCAAGAATTTCTTCACAGTTAGGTAACCCATGAAAAGTGTTTGTTTCAAAATAAAAGGTGCATTTTTAGATATATACCCGAGGCTTTAACGTTACACGAATATAAGTAAACGGATGCGATCGATCTTTGGAAAATTCTTAAACGCTTTAATTAATACTTGAATTTTAGGAGTCACGGGTACTGTGCACAATAGTCTAGTTCACGTGTAGAAACCTTAACCCTTTCACCCCTTTGCATCTTTAGTAGACTCTACCATGCACTGATCTAGATGAGTCTAGTATGGC